TACGCTGACCATTCACAAGGAGGAATTGGTTCAAATTGGTGGTGGGGTGAAAGTGATCAGGTTTAATGTCCTGTGATGGGAAAGAAGATAATAGGAAGTGGGTGCTGACCCTGTTGCCTGAGCCTAATGCTTCCAGGACCACTTGTTTCCTGGGTAAGCTCACGCCCCCGTGTGTGGGTCCTACACTGCACCAACACAAAGATCTTGGTGTTTCATGATGGCATCTGTACTGGCCCACTGAGTTCTCATTTAGATATGGGAAGGCAAGTCTTTTTGGATTGACTATTTGCTGTTCTGGAAATATTTGCCAAACTTTAATGGAGACTGACAAAGATATGAGTCAGGAGAAAATGAGAATAAGTGGTGTTTAGTGTTCTTCACAATCATTTAGTCAGTCATTTCCTTAAGTGTTTATTGGCTACTGTGTGCAGGCATAGGGGATGTAAGAGTGGGCAGGAGAGTCATGGCGGGCATAGGTACTTGGAGCTAATGGTCTAATAGGGGCTAGAGACAAATGAGCTATCACTCACTGATGATGCAGTGTGAAAGGAACTGCTGTAGGGGAGGTACTTGGCATGATGAGAGCACATGGCCTGGGTGCCCACCTCAGACTTGGAGGATAAGGATCAGGGCAGGCTTCCAGAAGGAAGCAGCAGCTAAGCCAAGTCCTAGACGATGAGCAGAGGCAAAGCAGAGGCAGGAGTTGGGGAGCTGGAGGGCAAGTGTGAAGGCAGAGGAGAGGCATCAGTAAGAAGTGCCTTCAAGGGCTCTGAATTAGGAAGGCTGGGTCAGTCACAAGGCATTTGGGAGACAGAACCACAGGGTTGTGTGTGTGTGGTGGAGGTGAGATATGGGACAGGGAGGTATCTAGAATGAATCTCAGGTGGTATTGTTTACAGAGAGGAAAAACATAAGATGAATAGGGTGGGAAAGAGCCTGGGGAGAAAGATAATGAACTTTATTTGGGACATAATGAGGTTGCACTCTTTCTGTGACATCCACATAAGGAGATCAAGTAGATAGTGAGGAAATCAATGAATGGTGTTAGATGTTTATGTACTTAACATTCAGGCTGTTTCAGCTTTCTGTCCTGGGTCTAGTTTGTTTTCTATCCATGGCTTGTTAACCCAGAATCTTGAGTTTAAGACTTATACATTACCCAGCTCTTAAGTCTCAAACTATATGTCTAATCTTTGGCCAGCATTTTGCAAAGGTGGGCCGCTGACCCCAAGAGACACTCAGGACCCAGGAGCCACAGACAGAAATGGGTCTTATATCAGTTGTTAAAATGCTGCTGTTCAGTACACGCACAGTTGTGATGGCTTCAAGATCTTATGTTGTATTTTCCATCCCTCCAGAGTGGGTTGCATTTTTTTCAATCCTATTCTTCATTATAAAAGTCCTCCATCTTCTTGATTATATTAGTTTTTCTTTTCTGGACCTGATTCTGGCTTCATTGTTCATGAAATGTCAGGGTCATCTCTGCGCAGGAGAAATTTCTATCTATAAATCACTCCAATGCAGGCTATTCAGTGTTGTTAAGGTAAGAAGCAGTGATTGAGTGAGGCAAACAGGCATATTTCTAAAGATTGAGACTTTCAAATCAAGTAATTTGGTTCAGCACATCAGAAATCATGGTTCTAGGTAAATGAGCATTTTGATAAGTTCAGAAAATAATTCTCTTTTACGGACTCACTGCTTTAAGCTTTGAAATTTCACGTGTATCAGCTGCATGGGCTCAGCTGGTGAGGACTCACATATTTCTATAAGGTTGATCTAATGATCCCCTCACTTTAGGCCAGGGTTTCTCACTGGAGCAGTATAACAGAGTGGCTAAAGCAGTCTGATACAGTGCAAATCAGTCAGCCAGAGCCAAATGAATCCCAGCTCCATCGCTGATTAGCTGGAAAGCCATGGTTAATTTGTGTAACTTGTCAGAAAGGGTAGGTAATAAAACAGTTCATAGGTTTGTGGTAGTTATTGTTGTAAGAATTAATAGATAAGCTACTTGAACAGGGTCTAGAAGGAGCTCAAATAATTACTTCTTGCCACTGGGCAGCATCGGCACTGTCCAATATGGTAGCCACCACATGTAGCTCTTGAAATGTGGCTATTTTAAACGAGATGTGATGTGTGGCCAATTATATGTGCTATCAATGCCAACCGGATTCTTTCACCAAGGCTGGAGGAGTGCAGTGGCATGATCACAGCTCAGTGCAGCCACGATCTCCTGCAGGGGGTCCTTCCACCTCAGCTTCCCAAGTAGCTGGGACTACAGGCATGGGCCACCATGCCCGCTAATTTTTGTATTTTTTTCTTTTGTAGAGAGAGGTTTTGCCCAGGCTAGTCTCAAACTCCTGAGCTCAAGTGATCCTCCCACCTTGGCCTCCCAAAGTGCTAGGATTACAGGTGTAAGCCACTGCACCCAGCCAATGCCAACTAGATTCTAAAGATTTAATATAAAAGAAAGGATGTTGGAAGAGTGTAAAATATTTCATCAATAACTTTTTATGTTGATTACATGTTGAAACATGGACATTTTAGGTAATGTTGGGTTAAATAAAATCTATTTTATTTCTAGCAGTTATCACCTACTGATTATTTAAATTAATTTAGCTGTTTTTTTTTCCTTTACTTTTTAAAATGTGACTACTAGAAAATGTAACATTGCGTGTGTGACTTCTATCTTTATTGGATACCTCTCCTTTAGACATAGAACTTACCACGAAGGGCTTTCAGTATCTGAAGTTGTAGGCAAAGTATTCGCCTAGGCCACTGTAGCAACCTCCCCAGCTGGTCTGTTTGCTCTGTCTTTCTCCTCACTATACCCTGGGGACTTTTCAGAGTGCCTGATCTGCATCCGACCTGCTCTTTCCATTCTTGGCCCTGGCTCTTCCTGAATATACTCTATGCTCAATCATGATGAAAGAAAAACTCATCACATCCTCATTCATGTGTTCAGTTATTCACTTGACAGTTTTTGATAATTAACTGTGAGCCAGGCAGTGTTCTAGGCATTGGAGAAATAGTGGTGAACAAGACCGACAAAGCCCTTGCTCTGTATATGGTGTCTTCTACCTAGAATACATTTTCTTTCATTCTCTCTCTCTCTCTCTTCCCCCCCCCCCCACCCCCTCAATAACTGGAATCACCTCTTGAGGAAGTCTCTCCTGACAACACTACTCCCCACACCTTTTTTTTTTTTTTTTTTTTTGAGACAGAGTCTCGCTCTGTCACCCAGGCTGGAGTGCAGTGGCAGGATCTTGGCTCACTGCAACCTCCACTTCCTAGGTTCAAGTGATTCTCCTGCCTCAGCCTCCCTAGTAGCTGGGATTACAGGTGCATGTCACCACACCTGGCTAATTTTTATATCTTTAATAGAGACAGGGTTCACCATGTTGACCAGGCTAGTCTTAAACTCCTGACCTCAGTTGATCCGCCTGCCTCAGCCTCCCAAAGTGCTAGGATTACGGGCGTGAGCCACCATGTTCAGCCCCCACACCTTAGTTTAAGCTCCCATAGCCTCCTATTGTCATTTTTATCATAAGACTTATCACATTTACTGTTATATCAATTTTCAAAAGTCAAATTTTTTATTTTGAGAAAATTGTAGATTCATATGCGGTTATAAGAATACAGAGAGACCACTTGTACCCCTTTCCCAGTCTCCCTCAATGATAACATCTTTCAAAACTATTATACAATATCACATGAGGGTACGGCATTGACGCAATGACTGATCTGGTTCAGAGTTCCCATTTTACTTGTATTTGTGTACACGCGTGTGTTTAGTTCTATGCAATTTTATCTTTCTTTTATGTATCCACCACTACAGTCAAGAGACAGAACATTTCCCACTGGGTGCAGTGGCTCATGCCTGTAATCCCAGCACTTTGGAAGGCCAAGGTGGGTGGATCACCTGAGGTCAGGAGTTCAAGACCAGGCTGGCCAACATGGTGAAACACCGTCTCTACTTAAAATACAAAAAATTAGCCAGGTGTGGTGGCGTGCACCTGTAATCCTAGCTATTTGGGAGGCTGAGGCAGAAGAATCACTTGAACCTGGGAGGCAGAGGTTGTAGTGAGCCAAGATCCTGCCACTGCACTCCGGCCTGGGTGACAGAGTGAGACTCTGTCTCAAAAACAAAAAAAAAAACCAAAACATTTCCATGAGCGCAAAAATTCTTCATGTCATCTTTTTATAACCATAACACTACCTCCCCACCCCTGACCCTTATTAATCCCTGGCAACCACTGGTCTAGTTTCCATTTCTATAACTTTGTTATTTCAGGAATGTTATACCAATGGAGTCAGACACTACATAGCCTTTTTTCACCCAGCATAATGCTCTGGAGATTCATCTAAACTGTGTGTTTATTCCCTTTTATTGGTGAGTAGTATTCCATGTTACAGATGTACCACAGTTTGTTTAACCATGCACCTGTTGAAGGGCCCTTGAGTTGTTTCCAGTTTGGGACTATTATGAATAAAGCTGCTTTGAACATGTATAGGTTTTTATGTGAATACAAATTTCCATTTCTCTGGGGTAAATGACCAAGGATGCAGTTCTTAGGTCCATATATGTTGGTTTATTTATCATCCTCATTAGACTGTTGACACTTTGAGGACAGCTTGTTAGCTTCGTTCACATGTGCATCAAATGTTCTTTGTATGTATCTGACATATGGTAACACTCGATGATATGCTCAATAAAATACAGAATCCCAGAAAGAAGGAGGGACGGAGGGAGTAGGAAAAGGAAAGGAAGGAGGACAGAAATCTTTGAGTACTGTCAGTTGTCAGCTCAACCCCCTGCCCACCACCTCCCAACATCATTATATTTTAATTTTTTTTTTTTTTTTTTTTTTTTTTTGAGTCGGAGTCTCGCTCTGTCACCCAGGCTGGAGTGCAGTGGCCGGATCTCAGCTCACTGCAAGCTCCGCCTCCCGGGTTTACGCCATTCTCCTGCCTCAGCCTCCCGAGCAGCTGGGACTATTATATTTTAATTTTTTAAATAAACCCAGCGACCCCAGTGTGAGACAGTAGTTGCTTCATACCTGTTAGTTAAATGATACAACACTCTGGCGAGTAGAACAGCTCTCCTCTCCCCTTCTCCATCCTCCCATCACTGGAGTGTAGGGATGGACACACACAGACACACGTGTGCATACTCAGTGGCCAGGAGCCTAGGAATCTTTTCTGGAACAACGTCAAGTGCTAACAAATGAAGCGCTGTTGCTTCGAAGCTTAGCTAACAACAACCTTGGCCATGTCTGTGTGACTGCCCCGGGAATTACAAATGAAGAGTCTGGGGACCCAGCAGCTTTGTGGACTCATTCCAATGGGAATACAGGATGCAGCTGAAATAAAGAATGCCTCTTTGTGACTCATTAAACTCTACTCTGTTCCTTTCTATTAGGCATGTGTCTGCCATGCCCTGCAAAGCTATGATATTCAAAAGTGGAAGAGTCAGGCAGAAATAAAAACATTTCACTTCAGCACCCAAACCATGTGCCCCTTAATTTGAAATAAATCTGTGACAACTGACAGATAATTCTTTCAGACAGTTATGGAGAAAGGCTTGACTTGTCCTAGTAAATCAGACACAGGAGTCATTATTTTTAGTCTCGTTAAAAAAATGTTACCATAGCAACTGCACCATCATCTCGGGCAAATGTTATCTCTTTAAGTCAATAACACGAGGAGCTGACCACAAATACCCAGTGCTTTGAAAGGAAGAAATGACTTTTCAACAAAATTAGTTTCTTCCAAGTCTTCACTGTTCATCTTCATTCATGTGCCCAGAATTCCTCTCCTCTCCCCCGTGGACAATAAGCAGTATTAAAAGCAACATACCACTTTATAAGACTCAAGGCTGACCTTTCTTCTATCATTAATTCTCTTAGTTCCTTGAAACTCATAGCTTCATATGTGGCTTTGTTTTCCACCCATGGGAAGCATAATGCTAATTAATTTGACCCTTGGGCCGAGCATTGTGTATTTTGAGAACACAGTGTGGAAAAGCATACTAGAGCATGCACATCTTTTCTAAACTCTTAAGAGATGGTTTTAAGTGATGCAGCAAACAGCTTAGTTCCTGTGGGCTCTCATTTCATACCTGTGCAAGACCGTGGATGCTCAGGGAGCATTGTTTGGCTTAGTTTGACTCCATATTTGGTCAGAACTGAAATTGAATGTTTGCGAAGATTTATTAATATATTGAAATTTGCAACTGTGATAAAGCTTTTACCCTCAAAATATGAGATTTGGACTTTAAAAATTAAGCCTAATACTTTAGATTTTTTCTTCTACTGAAAACATGTTGTTAATTTTAGTGTCAGATTAAAGCACCCCAAGATGGCTGGGAAAGCAAGGTTGGTTCTTAGCTATGTCCTGGTTTCAGAATGCTGGTGAGGTCTCATAGTCCCCAAAGACTTTGCTTCTTCTCTTCTCAGACTCACATTTTTTTTTTTTCACCTCTAATACCTTGGAAATCAGGATATGCTTAACAACTGCTGGTGTGATATAATTTTTTATTGGCAGCTTTTTATTTCTTAGTGGTACACATGATAATGATGCATTTCCAGGGAAGGAAAGAGAAACAACAATTATTGCCTGCTTATCATGTATCAAACCCTGTGAGAAGTAATTTATAGACATTATTTTGTGGAATCCTCACATGACCCTTGTGATGGAGGTATTTTTAATTTTGTAGGAAACTGAGACTCAGGTGGGCTACCAGACCTGTCCAAGATCATAAGTTGGCCAGTGTCAGAATCAAGATTTCAGTACAATGTGGCCGACTTCATGGTTGTGTAACCTTCTGCACTCTCTCTCTGACTTGTCCTCAGTTTCTTGTGCTCATAAAATAGTCTATAAATATTTAAATTCTGGAACTGGGAAGGGCCTTGGGAGTCACAGGGTCCAACCCCACTGTGTTACAGATGAAGAAACTGAGGCTCAGAGAAGTGACTTGCTCAGTCACTTCCTTTGGTAGTCCCAAAGGAGATTGTGCCACTGAGAATCTGCATGGCTGCAGGAGGGAAGGGAGTGTTTCAGGCTCTGTCAGTGTCTCCATCTCCTGCACACAGTGTGCAACCCAGGATGTCCCCACCTGGGACTGCCTTCCCTGGACCAGGCCTCAGTTTCTCAGTCACCCCTTTGAGGCACTAACACTTGGCTCATTCCTCTGGAGTCACAATCCCCCTGGAATTCAAGATGATTACTCATGTACACCACTTCTCCTTTCTTTCTACCCCTAGTGAACCTATACCTTGTGCCTCACGCTCCAAGGTGACAATAAATGCATGTAAATATGATCATGGAACAAAAGGAGAGAAGATTCTCCAGAGACTATCCTTGGAGACATTACTCATATGTTTCTTTGCTACCTCAAGAGAGGGACTTTAATGGTGGGAACTTCAACGTAGATTGAAGGGAAGGTGGCAGGCACATGCACACTATGGTGCAGAGATATTCCGTGGGTAGCAGGGCGTTTATTAGCCTTTGAAGTCACACTACAAACTCTCACTCTGCCCATAGAGAGGTGCGACACAGCCTACATTGCAAAAGGTGGCATCCATATACCATTCTCCTTTCCTACACCCAGGATGAAGTGGATGGGCCACTGCCCTTTGCCTTTAGAATGACTTCAGCTGCCTTCTCTAACACAACATTCCAGGTAGCCAATTCCCATTAACTGTAGTTGGTGACAGGGATGAAATAGACCCATTTGCCATTCCCAGTGTTGTTGAAGGCTTTGGAAGTAGGCAGGTTACAAAACGATTGAGTTTCTATTTCTTCCAATGTAAAAACAAGAAAATAATAATTGACTTAAAGAATTGTTGTAAGGTCTAGAGATGACATATGTAAGAGCACAGCAGACTCCATGGTACCTGGTACACAGTAGATGCTTAGTGACTCTAAATTGTTGTTCTTATAAAGTTAATGCTGACAGGGTGGAATGCATGATGCCACAGCTCTGCATTATAAAGAAGTTGGGGATTGTGAAAGAAAGATGCTCTTGGACTTTGTAGTCTGTCTTTATTTTGTGACTCTGCAGACACAAGTGTGTATGTTTCAGGTCTAAAAGAGTTGAGCAGTCGTCTTCAGAAACAGCCCAGGATGGCAGCTCACTGCCAGTTGGCTAGCTCTTGGCCAGCAAGTTAGGAAGATCAGGCCAGCTGAGCAGTCTGTCCCCAGAGTACTCCAGTTCTGGTTATGCTACTCACAGGCTGAAGGGCTGAAGAAAGTCCTTTATTCCAAGCCTAGTTCAATTTTCTATAAAACACGTGTAATAATTCTGCTCTAGAGAGAGGGGTGGCAAATTGATGGACTCACTGGGCATTGTTATCTGTTTTGAAAATGAAATCTATGATGAGCAGCACATGTGTTTAAAGAACACTTTCCTTTGCAGAAAATGGAAATGGTTTAACTTCTTCACTTTGTTTCACTAGTTAGTTAGTGTGCATCTTCAATGTCTCTGCCTATGTCATTATTTACTATGATACTGAAACTCCTAAGGACAAAGATGATGTCTGCTTCATTTACTTTTTAGAGCATCCAGAAAAATGCCATGAACAAGTACATTTTTAATCCACTCATATGCTGTTATTGTAGATTGAAATATAAACTGTATCCCATACTCCAAAAAGTATTTTGTTTTTATTTTAATCATTTAAGACCAAAAATCTGATGAAACATCTCTATCAGAGCAGCACTGAATGTCCTTACAGTCAGAACAAATGCATGCCTGTTGGTTTATTTTAATTTTAAAACATTAATATTGACTGACTGTCTATTACAAAAGTCTGCCCAATGTAGAACATGTGAAAAATGCTGAAAACCATATAAAAGAAATGAAAAGTTTTCTTTAATTCCCATGCTGGAAGATAATCACTTGGAACATCTTGGAATTTTTTCCTAAATGATTCATTTTAAGGTGATATTGATATCATCTAATTCTTAGCTAGTTTTAAGACTTTCAACATGTTTCTTCTCACTGTGATTTCCATCTTTTCAGGTAGTGATCCTGCATTCTTTCCAGCAAGAATTATTGTTTTGTTATTTTTCAGTGTATTGAAACATGTTGTCAGTTAAAGGAAAGGGTTTGCCATGAGCTGCTAGTCACTTACCCATTTCAAAGGAACCTTGTGGTTACCATGAAGGAAAATTTAATCCATCTGCCACAATGCATTTGTTCTCTTGAGAACCAGGTGGAACTACCGCTGACTATTTCCTTAGGATTATGCCACCCACCAAGGTAACTTTCTGTTTCAGTAGGTGATGTGGAGAAACAAAACAACACCCTTTAAGTTAATCAGTTTTGGAAAATAGAGACTGGCTTTCTATTCCATGGCTTTGATGTGTTTAGTAGTTCCTGTAAGGATCTGCCTCTCTTTTGTTTCGATTGACAAGACCTTTTCTATATATTTGAGCAATCAAGCAGCCCAGTAACAGAAGGTAGAGATATTTACCCAGAGCAAACTTCTACCATTCATTGTGACTCCCTGAGATCTTAGTGCAAGTTTCAGCTCTAAAAGAAGCGTTGGCTCCTGCATGATTAGGTAAGTGCTTCTCCATATTTGTAACCTCATTCCAGAGGAGGGGAAGCCCAGAGAACTTGCTACAGCAAGGTCAGAAGTAGGAACTGTGAAAATAATGAATTCAGTGGGGGGTAAGGGTCCATGAATGCCATATCCTTTATACTTCAAAATCCAGGTGAGTTCTGTCTAGTGGGCCAAGCATGAAGGGGGTTGATTCTGGCTCCTGAAAGAGCACGGGGAATGACCAAGACCCAGAGAGGATGGACTTGACAGTGGACTGAGGTTATGTTTTAAGTAACTCCTATGCTTTCCATCATTTGGATTTAAATTGAATGTTAAGTAGGTGCTGTTGCAGTGGAAGTCTAGAGCAGAAGCAATTTACAGTGAGTAGGACACATTTATGAATGGCCACCAACTCAGATGATAGGTTTCATGATATTTTCTGCGTATCCATGTTTAGTGGTGAGTTGGTTTAGTAGCGATGCATATAGCGAATACTGTTATTAATATTTACCTACCAAATCATTCCCCATCATGACACTGAAAATATAGTTTCAAGCAAAGTATGTAACATGGCACCCAAATACCCTGGACCTGAATAAAAATAATTTATATGTATTCATGTATTCTGTTGGGTTATGGATTAGTTTTGGTGTTACTCATATTTTATGTTTATTTTGGAAAGACCACTGTGACAAACTTCCTCAGCACACAAGGCAACTGCAGCAGTTAAGTTACAATAAGGAAAAGCCTGAGAATGCACTTGGAGGGTGGGCATCTAGAGAGGGCCATGGAATTCACACTGGCACCAGTTACAGGAATCGCTGGACGCCTGTGTTGGAGTTTGTGGGCATTTACAATTTCTGGGCTCACTTTCCCTGAAATGCTAGGAGCAAGGTCCCTTTGATAGCGACCAATGCATGGTTGGCTGTGCCATTGAGGGCAGCCAGATCTGTTAAACTCTGTCCTTTCCCTCTCCGGAAGAGCAGCATGAAGCTGGCATTCCTCTTCCTTGGCCCCATGGCCCTCCTCCTTCTGGTTGGCTGTGGCTGTGTCCTTGGCGCCTCCAGTGGGAACCTGCGCACCTTTGTGGGCTGTGCCGTGAGGGAGTTTACTTTCCTGGCCAAGAAGCCAGGCTGCAGGGGCCTTCGGATCACCACGGATGCCTGCTGGGGTCGCTGTGAGACCTGGGAGGTGAGTTGCTAAGATGTGCAGATGACAGTATCTTCTGGGCCAGCAGCTTGGGTCTGATTCTCAAGAGTTCACTTTTTAAATGATATGAGGTGGAGCTGGGACATCTGCCCTTTCCTGTGGATTTAAAAAACCAAAACAAAACTGTGATTGGCATCTTCCAAAAGTGATTTGAAAAGCATGATGTTGCCCCTCTAACAAAGCATTGATAAGATTAAGAATTTGGTTTACATTGTGTCTGTGTATCTAGGAATCATCTCTGGGAGGTCACGATGTACTGTTCTACCCATTTTACAGATGACATGGAGGGATTCAAGGGAGAGTGGCTGCAAAGTCACAGAGAGTGTCAGTGTAAAGCTGGAAATCAATTTGTGGTTCAAGCTTGTGACCCAAACTCCTCCCTGTGTTCCTTCATTTTGGGTAAATTAGCCAGTTTCCAAGAAAGAGGCCCTGAGCTGAAGGGTGAGAGTTAGTCCCAGAACCCTTCACTGCCTTTTCTGCAGCCCTGTTCCTCTTGAAGTCCCTGGGAGCCCTCTGGGGTTATCACTGACGGATCCATTAAGTTCCTTCATATTCAATGATACCTGGCCTTTTTAGAGACATTCAGTTTAAAGTGGGGATAACACTCTCAAACAAAGTTAAAAATCCTGTTGGGCTAAGAGGAGCTGTCTGAGTGGTGAAGAGGAAGAGAGTTATTCAGCACCCCAGCAGATCACACTACGTAGTAACTGTGGGCTCTTCCCTCTGAGGCCCGCCCACTTGGTAACTGATGAGTTGCTAGCTCTGATCTTGTCATGCCCTGACCCCAAAACCTTGAATGTCCACACACTACTACAGATTCAATTACCAACTTTCAAAGTCCTCAGCAATATGGCGTCTGCCTGCTTTCCTGAAGACAACACATTTTCTTACTCTGGCCTTGGTAAGTGACTTTCAAAGGTTTTATCAAATAGCCCTCATGGATCTCATTTTGGTCCTTTCCTGATATCCCTTCTCCTTCTCATCTGTCATTATCATATTTATTCCTGATGCCCATCTGCAGTGCCAGCTCCCTTTCTGGGGCTTTTTTGACTTGCAGGTAAGCCCTTCACTATGCTCTACTTTTTGTCTTACTTCTTCCCCCACCACACACGTTAAATTTTTTGAGGACAGAGGTTCATTCTTATAACTTTCACAGCTTTTGTCAAGGTGTTGTGTATGAACAAGGTATTCAGTACACATTTGTCTGCTGACTGGGATGGACCTCTCCCTGGAGCTGTAGATCCTCCAGCCTAATAGAAGGCCACTTAGAAGCGTACCTGCACTGTGAGTGGACACTGCCATTGGGAACAATAGCCTTCTCTTCAGGGACCCAGAGGGTGGCCTGCTCTTGCTTAGGTACAATTACGGCCCTATGAATGGAATTGGGTCATAGTGATGAAATCTCCAAATTGGATGAAACGACTCCATCAAAGTAGTTTTCTTTTTGCCTCATTCAGGGGCTTAGCCAAATGAAAATCGGGTTTTGCTAAGTAGACTTTGCCTGTCAATTGGCAGCAAATTCACTTGGGGCACTTGGCACCTCCTCCTGTTCAGGGACTGGCCTGGCAGGGCCTCTCCCTGTTTGCATTTAGTGTCTGGGCTGTTTGAAGCCCTCTCTGTGCCAAATCCTCGAACTCCTGCTTACCCTCAATTCAGCCCATCTTCTCTTCTTTTTAAAAACTGATGAATGGCTTTAATTGGATCGTGGTCACCCATAGGAGGTCAGGAACTGTGCTCTCACTGGAAAAATGGAAGCACCAAAACCATTAAAGAACAAGATTGTCTCTGATCTTAGCCGGCTTTCATTCATGTCTTGACTGTGTTATGAAAAGGGAGGTAACCTATAGAAAATAAATAAAAGAATGAGGTTCATTTTCCCAGCAATCTGAAAGTTTCTGAGATATAAAGCCCTTGATTTTTTTGGGGGAGGGAACTTAACTGAAAGCATGTCTGAAAATAAGGATGTTTATGACGACAGACTGGCTGGATTTACATTTGAAGGTGGAGCTGTTGTTGAAAATAGCTATTCCTCATAATCTGCATGTAGCGTTGCCAGATTTAGCAAACAAACAGACAAACCAAATAAAACAAAACAACCAATCCCCTCCCCAGAAAAACCCAAACTGAAATGAAACCAGAAAACCAGGAAGCCCAGGTAAATTTGAATTTCAGATAAGCAACAAATAAATTTTTAGCGTAAGTCTGTCTGTCTCATATAGTATTTGGGACAGACTTATACTAAAAAATTGTGTATCTGAAATTTAATGTTTTTTTTTTTTGAGACAGAGTCTCACTCTGTCGCCCAGGCTGGAGTGCAGTGGCACAATCTCGGCTCACTGCAAGCTCCGCCTCCCGGGTTCTGGCCATTCTCCTGCCTCAGCCTCCTGAGTAGCTGGGACTGCAGGCACTGCCTCAGCCTCCTGAGTAGCTGGGACTGCAGGCACCCGTCACCACGCCTGGCTAATTTTTTTTTTTTTTTTTTTTTTTTTTTTTGGTAGAGACAGGGTTTCACCGTGTTAGGATTGAAATTTAAATTTTTTGAGGTGTCTGGTCTGCCTAGGTTCCCAGAGTACCAATGGTAAGAAGACATAAAGCAAATATGGATGGTAGGAGAAAACAGTTGAGGACAAATTCAGCTTCTCTGGTCCTTGTCAAAGGCAAGGCAGGCTGGGCGCGGTGGTTCATGCCTGTAATCCCAGCACTTTGGGAGGCAAAGGTGGGCGGATGGCGAGGTCGGGAGATAGAGACCAGCCTGGCCAATATGGTGAAACCCCATCTCTACTAAAAATACAAAAATTAGCCGGACGTGGTGGCACGTGCCTGTAGTCCCAGCAACTCGGGAGGCTGAGGCAGAAGAATTGCTTGAACCCGGGAGGTGGAGGTTACAGTGAGCTGAGATCGCGCCACTGTACTACTACTCCAGCCTGGGTAACAGAGCGAGACTCCATCTCAAAAAAAAAAAAAAAAAAAAAAAAAAAAAAAAAATAAGGCAAGTTTGCTATTTTCATGACATTCATGCAAGAACTTCATCTTGAGTTACATATTCTTTTTTGCCTAGAACAAAGAAGAACAAAAAAGCAAAGGTACTGTCGTTTGAAAGCTTGTTATTATTTTCATTATTACTTCCTTATAATAATTGCACTAATAAGAACAATGGATTACATTTATTGAACACTTACTTTGTGCTAGACATTGTGAATTGAGTATATCATCTTACTTTATCTCTCAAACAATGGTGGGAGGTAGACATTTTGCTTTACAGAGGAGGAAACTGAGTCTTCAGGAAGTTCAGTGAATTTTCCGAGGTCTCCAGCAAGTGGCAGAACAGGGACTCAAGCTCCATAGTTCTGACTGCAGGGCTTGAGATGTTAACCCCGGCGAGGTGCTGATATTTTTTCTGATCTATGTGTTCTGTTTATCAAAATTATCTTTGAAATTAAGATTTATAAAAGCTGAAGAAAGGAAATGAATCTTTTGATGATCAGAACAGTGCACAGAGTACTCGGGAACCTGTCTTGTAATGTTTTCTTTCATTGATGCAATGACAAATAGTTACTGAAACCCTCCCGGGGTCTGTTTTAGGTACAGGAGGCACAGCGGGCAAAAATCTCTGTCCTAAAAGAGCTTACTTTCTAGAGTGGGAGGAATAGCACGCAAATGAAAGAAAGGTAGACTATGTCAGGTGGTACTGATCAGTGCTATGGTGAAAAATAAAGCAGGATGGGGGATGGGAAGTTTCTGGGCATGGAGATGGAATGTTGCAATTTTAAATAGGATGGTTGGGAAATGCTTCCCTGAGAGGGTGACATTCTAACAAAAACCAAAGGTTGGTAAAGGAGTGAATCATACGGGAGAAGAATGTTCCAGGCAGGAGGAACGGTAAGTGCAAAGGCCGTGAGCTGGGACTGTTCCTGCTGGGTGGCAGGAACAATAAGGAGACCCCTGTGAGCCTAGTGAGGAAGTCAGTGGGGTGGGAATGGTTGCAGACATTTCAGAAGGTGGAGGTGTAGAGGAGGTGATGTAGGTCTTGAAGGTGATCATAAGGTCTTTGATTTTTGCTCTGAGTGAGATGGGAAATACTGGGGCTTTGGGCAGAGGAGTAATATGATCTGACTTATGTTTAAACAGGATCAGTCAGGGCTACTGTGTTGCAAATAGATTGTAAGGAGTAAAAATGGAAGAGGGGAGACCGGTTAGAAGGTGTTTGCAATGACCAAGATGATTCATTTGCTGACTAGGCATGGAGCACTTGCTGTGTGCCATGGTCTCTCCTGCGAGCTTAGGATATAGTCTTGAATGAAATCAGCTTCTTGCTTTCAGGAGTTTGTTTTCTACTGGGAGATGATAGAGCAACAAGTAAATCAATGAATAACAAGTTAATTTCTGATAGTGATAAATGATACTAAAAAACTGAAACAAGATCATAGGTTCTAATGAATTCCCTGTTTTCTCTCTGTGGGGACAGAAACCCATTCTGGAACCCCCCTATATTGAAGCCTATCATCGAGTCTGTACCTACAACGAGACCAAACAGGTGACTGTCAAGCTGCCCAACTGTGCCCCGGGAGTCGACCCCTTCTACACCTATCCCGTGGCCGTCCGCTGTGACTGCGGAACCTGCTCCACTGCCACCACGGAGTGTGAGACCATCTGAGGCCCGCGTGGTCTGCAGAGCGCAGCTAGTGGCCTCAGCCTCACAGACCCACCTGTGTGAGCAGCACATGCAGTTATACTTCCTGGATGCAAGACTGTTTAATTTCGACCATACCCATGGAGGAGGTTACCTGTTGACCCTGAGGTCCAGCTCAGGCACAAGGCCCAAATGCAGCCTACTGATGCTAAAAATTCGAAACAATATTCATGCCTTCACCAAAATAATTTCTCCAGTTCACACACCTCCAAATTAATTTTTCTTTGCCTTGAGTCTTGGAACATAATTTGTGTATCACAATCCTCCCCCAATTTGGACTTACAATATGCTAATGATTTAAACACATTGGATGTAATTAGAAAATGGGGCTGGAAAGTCTTTAAATTCTCATGTTCTATTTAACCACTGATCTCCAACCGGATTTATGATTAAAGGGCTAGAAATGAACAAAACCCATGTACTAGTCGTCCTCACCCCTGAGGAATTCCAACTGCAAGCTTCTTTAGGGAAAATGCTCCCTTCCCCTTTTAACTGAGCAATTATCTACACAAGAAATAAGACTGTTCAGATATACAAAGAGAGCAGCTTCAATGAAGAGATGTTTGGATTTGGATAATTATTTTCCCTAGCAAAATTCCCTAAACTCCCTTAAGAGCCTTAATAAAGAGGCTATGGTGGGTTTGAAAGAAAAAAAATACCCAGAAATAAAATATGTAACTAATAGCTATCTCATTTAGCCTTAAAAAGTTATTAAACTCATGTTTTAGAGTATGATGTTCTCCCAAAGCTATGGCAAAATGGCCAATCACATGTATTCTTCCCGATTTATCATATTTTAAATTTAAGTTGTAACTTACTAAACTCTGAAATTTTACATGCTTTTAGGGGTAAAACTGCATCGCTGGCTCAGAGGAAACAGTCTGTGATTTTCTAGCTCCTGCCTTCTCTAAAATCTTACAGTAGCTAATTCTGTGGCTGGAAAAAACCTCCAGAACTCTAATGTTATGCAAATGTCTTTAATTCTGGCATTTTTGGGGTTGAATTTAACCTTGTTCCTTTTTCATAATGTGCCAGGAAAACCTATATTAATGCCAATAAAGCATGTCCTCTGTCTTTTGAATTCATGACAACTTTCAAGAAAGTCTTTTTAATTTTTAGTACACTTGGAATAACAGTGAGAAGCACACCTCAAATAAACTACAAGGTTATTTTTACTTAAGCATTAATTTGGCATGTCATGTTTAGTAAGGGACACAGACAGATGACTCTGGGTAGCATGAGTCCCAGCGGTGGCACAAATGCATAGACATAGCCCTGGGAGCCAGGAGTCCTTCTTGAATAAGAATTCAATGAGTCCCCCTAAAACACAGTAAAGCAAATGTTGAGATTGACAGTCAAGTACTGGGATGCAGGGTGAACATCTGGGAACAAAAGGCAGGAGCAAAAGTCACCCAACCTTTAGCAGATGTGTTGGTAGGAAAGGAATTCACTCTAACAGAAGAAGGCAAGTACTTGGGGTCTCTGCTGGAACAGTGGGTGATGATTAAGGATGAATCCTGGGTGGTGCCACTCAAGTGTTTTCAACCCACCCCTAAAGACTTTCCTCAATTTTGTGAGGCACAAAGGGCTTGCCAGGATTTGAGAAAAGATGACCACAGCAAGAATAAGGGTCCTGGCAGGAAACCAGTGATCTATTGCAGTGGGATACGGAAGAGATGATTTATAAATGTGTGAGCAGAATTAAGGAAACCAACAAGTGGGGATGAAACAGATCTGGTTCAGCAGCAATGGACAACCCTAGGCTGAAGGAATGGGAGGAGTGAGTGATTGTCAGACCCCAGAGAAAACTGTAGAAGTGAGATCCACGACAGGAGCTGCAGCCTTTGGTAGGAGGATGCAGCCCTTCCCAAACTGAGACCTGGTAGGGAGGGAGGTGGGGGAGCAGATACCCATCCTCACTCTCCTCCCTGGTCTTCTGTTGAATGAAATGGGCATCGAGCCGGGTGTGATGGCTCATTCCTGTAATCCTAGCACTTTGGGAGGCTGAGGTGGAAGAATTACAACATGGTGAGACCCTGTCTCTTCAAAAAATAAAAATAAAAAAATTAGCTGGGTATGGTGGTGTGCACCTGTACTCCCAACTACTCGGGTGGCTGAGGTGGGAGGATCCCTTGAGACTGGGAGGTCAAGGCTGCAAATGAGCTGTGATCGTGCCACTGCATGCCAGCCTGAATGACAGAGCAAGACCCCATCTCTAAAAAAAAAAAGAAAAAGAAAAAGAAAAAAACACGTGGGAATCAAATGGGAAAGCAGAGAGTGAGAAAACCCATTGATTCTGTCCACAAATGTTGGCCTCCTAGGCACTAAGTTGAAGAAAGGTAGAGAGTGGATTTAAGGGGCCAAATGAATAAACTCCAGCTTAGCTGTCTTTTGGGAAGCTCAGCTTGAATGCAGGAGGTAGCATGCTGTAGCATCACAATTACAGTCATGGGTCACTTAACAAGGGTACATTATGAGAAATGCATCATTAGGTAATTCTGTCATTGTGAGAACATCATAGTGTAATTACACAAACCTGGACGGTATAGCCTACTACATAGCTAAGTATAGCTTATTGCTGCTAGGCTCCAAATCTGTACAGCAGATTACTATACTCAATGCTGTAGGCAACTGTAAAACAATGGTAGGTATTTGTGTATCTAAACATAGAACAAGTACAGAAAAAACATAATCTTATGGGACCACCATCATATGTGCCGTCTGCCATTGACCAAAATATTGTGCAGTTCATGACTGTACTGACTGCCTTGTAGTAAATTGATCTGGAATACACATGGGAAGGCATGCACTGGCTAATACAATAACATTTGGGAGATATTGAAGACCATGGTAATTATAAGGACTGTGGGATCAGTTGGTGGTTAAGTGCAATAAAAGCCCTCAGGCATGATATGAAAGCTGATTTGAAGAGACTGTCCTCAAATGCAGCTGAAGGACAGACTGTGCTGAAAATTAGGCCTAATATCTAATTGACAAAGCAGCTGAATTAATAAAAGGGCTGAATTTACCACTCTGGCAAGTCTCCTATACTTAAGTCAAGGTCCTAATAGGGAAGAAGTGAGACATAGAGAGCTGGAATGGGAACAGTTAGGTGGATGATGGACTCGAGGTTTCCCTGCAGAGGAACCTCCTGGCTCCTGCTTGCTAGTGGAGAGCATACTCCCCTTGCCTGGAGACCATGCCGAGGAGGATGCTTTACATGATGATACTCACCCTCCTCAAATATTGCCTATACCCCCGTGTTATTCTAGATGGTTAATTATGGTCAAGTCTCAGGATGATCTGGCTGGGGAGGGACTTGCTCTGTGGTGGGAGGAACAAGCATCTCCCCTGAGGGAGCTTCAGGATTTGACAAGGTAAACCAGGAGGAATTGGTAAAGTGTGCTTAGCAATGGATCTTGGGGGTTTAGACAGGGATATGGCGGGTGGGGTGCCAGAATATAAGATTGGATAAGAAGATTTCATCCGTATGCAGGCATTATCAGAATATAATGTAATCAAAAGGACACCTGGATCTGGTCCCAGTGTGCTGTTGGGATGTGTCCTTCAAGAGTGGGGAAAATGGTGGCTTGCATTAATGAAAAGAAGATGCCAGAACTGTCCTGGCAGAGTACTGAGGAACAAAAGGCACTGAGAGGTGGGCCTGTCAGAATGGATTTATTACATAAGACCAGAGAACTCGCCAGTTGGCTGTGTTCATCTGGAGGGTTTAGTGGCCATTTCTTTTACAAAGCAACAAAGAATGACTAGTGAGGGGGCACATCTCAGAAAAGCTCGATCATCACTGTCCTTTCTAGGCTGAGGTTGATGCCCGGGGAAGCTGCTGTGGAACTGGGCTTCCTGGTGTCAGCGTAGGTGATAGGGATCTAGGACAACAGGGACCAGGTGGCGACATACAGCTGTAAGAGACAAGGTGGGCATAATTGTTCTAACAGATAGCAAAGCTGCAATGGCCACCAGAGAGCTCTGATCTGCAGGATCTGTGTGCTAATAGTTCATGGTATTCAAACAATTTCCTCAATAGATCTATGTTATAATCAGAGAATTTATTAGTGAAAAAGAGGAAAACTTCTATCAGGATTTATACTGTGCTAAACCTGAATCTTTTTCAAGTCTCCCTTTTCCTTTCTCCCTCCTTTCCACAAATATTTGTTAACTTAAATTTTGTGCAAGGTACTGTGTTTGGAAAATAACAAAAATATATTGTTACCATTTATGGATCTCTTACTATAAGCAGAATCCTTTATATTAACACTTCTTAGTTATTGTATTAACTATGCTAGTAAGCACTGTCATTGTCATTTTACCATTAGCATTTTACAGATGATGAAATAGAAGCTCAGAGAGGTCAAATAACTTGTCCAAGGTCACACAGCTAATAAGTAGCACATGCTAGGTTTCTTTGAATCAGAACCAAATGTTTTCCACTAGAGCACAGTGCCTTTTTGGAATCCTCCTTACAAGTCATTCCTGCTTGGAGAAGTCTTTAAGTTTATCGTCAGACTATCTCTTACCATTGATTAGCATTTCTGCCATCTTTCCTGGAGGTGGCTCCATGCAAGGTTGGGCTGTTTAATGGAGACTGGAACTTTTCTCTGGGTTTCCTATATAACCTCTAGGAAGATAGTGTTTTGCTGTAGCTTAAATGAAAGCTTACCATGGAAGAGACTGAGGGAGAAAAAGCAGAGCCTCGAAGGGAAATTCAAAGAGACTGTTGTGGAACTGAGGGATGTATGTTCTAAACTTTTTTCCTAGGCATGTGAGGAGTGGTGCAGGGGAATTGACTCTGGTGCATAAACTAACTCTCAGCAACTCCTTACTCTTGGAAATGTGTTTATTTTTTATTCCATAAGTTATTGGAGTACAGGCGGTATTTGGTTATATAATTAAGTTCTTTAGTGGTGATTCGTGAGATTTTGGTGCACCCATCACCTGAGCAGTATACACTGCACCGTATTTGTAGTCTTCTATCCCTTGCTCCCCTCCCACTCTTCCCCCAAAGCCCCCAAAGTCTATTGCATCATTCTTATGCTTTTGCATCCTCATAGCTTAGCTCCCACATTTCAGTGAGAACATACGATGTTTGGTTTTCCATTCGTGAGTTACTTCACTTAGAAGAATAGTCTCCAATCTCATCCAGGTCACTACCAATACTGTTAATTCATTCCTTTTTATGGCTGTGTAATATTCCATTGTATATATATACCACAGTTTCTTTATCCACTTGTTGGTTGATGGGCATTTGGGTTGGTTCCACAATTTTGCAATTGTGAATTGGGCCACCATAAAAATGTGTTTGCAAATATCTTTTTTGAATAATGACTTCTTTTCCTCCGGGTAAATACCCAGTAGTGGGATTGCTGGATCCAATGGTAGTTCTACTTTTAGATCTTTAAATAATCTCCACACTGTTTTCCTTAGAGGCTGTACTAGTTTACATTCCCACCAGCAGTGTAGAAGTGTTCCCTGTTCACTGCATCCACACCAACATCTACTATTTTTTTGATTTTTTGATTATAGCCATTCTTGCAGGAGTGAGATGGTATCACATTGTGGTTTTGATATGCATTTCCCTGATCATTAGTGATGCTGAGCATTTTTTCATGTTTGTTAACCATTTGTATATCTTCTTTCGAGAATTGTCTATTCATGTCCTTAGCCCACTTTTTGATGGGATTGTTTGGTTTTTTTCTTACTGATTTGAGTTTGCTGTAGATTCTGGATTGCTCCCTTGTCAGATGTATAGATTGTGAAGATTTTCTCCCACTCTGTGGGTTGTCTGTTGACTCTGCTGACTGTTCCTTTTGCTGTGGGAAAGCGCTTTAATTTAATTAGGTCCCAGCTATTTATCTTTGTTTTTATTGCATTTGCTTTTGGGTTCTTGGTCATGAAATCCTTGCCCAAACCAACGTCTTGATGGGATTTTCCAATGTTATCTTGTAGAATTTTTATAGTTTCAGGTCTTAGGTTTAAGTCCTTAATCCATGTTCAGTTGATTTTTGTGTGAGATAAGGATCCAGTTTCATTCTCCTACATTTGACTAGCCAATTATCCCAGCACCATTTGTTGAAAAGGGTGTCCTTTCTCCACTTTATGTTTTTGTTTGCTTTGTTGAAGGTCAGTTGGCTGTAAGTATTTGGGTTTATTTCTGGGTTCTCTATTCTGTCCTCTTGGTTTTTGTGCCTATTTTTGTGTCAGTACCACGCTGTTTTGGTGACTATGGCCTTACAGTAGAGTTTGAAATCAGATAGTGTGATGCTTGCAGATGTGTTCTTTTTGCTTATTCTTGCTTTGGCTATGCGGGCTCTTTTTTGGTTCCATATGAATTTTAGAATTGTTTTTTCTAATTCTGTGAAGAGTGATGGTGGTATTTTGATGGGGATTGCATTGAATTTGTACATTGCTTTTGGCAGTATGGTCATTTTCACACTATTGATTCTACCCATCCATGAGCATGGGATGTGTTTCCATTTTTTTGGTGTCATCTATGATTTCTTTCAGCAGTGTTTTGTAGATTTCCTTGTAGAGGTCTTTCAAATCCTTTGAAAGTTAAATTGAAACAAAAATAAATATAAAAGATAAATGAAACAAAAAGCTGGTTCTTTGGAAAGACAAATAAAATTGATAGACCATTAGCAAGATTAACCAGGAAGGAAGAGAAAAAGTCTGAATAACCTCACTAAGAAATGAAACAGGAGATATTACAACTGACACCACTGAAATGCAAAAGATCATTCAAGGCTACTATGAACACCTTTACTCACATAAACTAGAAAACTTAGAAGAGATGGATAAATACCTGGAAAAATACAACCCTCCTAGGTAAATCACCGAAGAATTAGATACCTTGAACCCAGGGTATATACCCAGGAATATACCCCGGTATATTCCTGAGTTTTCTTCCTTCCTTTCTTTTTTTTCTTTTGCAGCTATTGTAAAAGGGGTTGAGTTTTTTTATTTGATTCTC